AGAGCGAGAGTGTGTAGGGGAGAGATATAGAGAGAGAGTGTAGGGGAGAGATATAGAGGGATGTAAGGAAGATAGAGTTTATTGTGGATTTTCTTTTATTTTAATTTTTATCATTTCTTTTAGTTAAAGGCAAGGATGTCACTTTTTGAGAACTTGGTTATCTTTGAAGAGTAAACAAGTTGTTTTGGATCTTGTCAAGAGGACTTTGGGGTGGACTCCCTTGCAAACCCACTATTGTAGTGGTTCCTACGCATGGCTAAACGGAACTGCTATAGTATTAAGAACGCTGTCTTTCTGAAAGTTTTCTTTCCTGCAAACAAACACGCTCTGAGAGAGAGTATATTCTCGCAGCCTTTTTATTATTTTAATTATTTCTTTCCCAACTTTCATCCATCTTCCGTGCATCGGTGATGCAGGGAAGATGGGAAAGAGATAATAAAAATAAATAATAATAAAGAGATTTGAGAATATACCTTCTCTCAAGGTCTGCAAGGGAGTCCACCCTAAATATCTCTTCGCAAGATCCAAAAACAATTTCTTTCTTCTCAAAATAACCAAATTCTAAAAAAGAAAACTACTTCCCTTTAAATGCAAACTAAAAGAAATAATAAAATTAAAATAAAAGACCACAAAAGAAACTTTCTCTCTCCCACATTTTTCTCTCATCTCTCTTCAAGTGCACGTGAGCCATCAATCTCTCTCTTAAATTCACTATAACCTTAGATTTAGGAAACTCCTACCTAAGTCACACACTACAGTTATCTACTTCTCCCCCATAACCTCTCTAGCACATTCATCTTTAAAAAAATAAAAAATAAACTTCCAATTCTATCCCTCAAATCTCTTTAATGAAGAAAGACAAAAACTAACCTTAAAGAAAGCTAAAAACCAAATAACACCAAATCTAAAATCTAGAAAAATATAAAAAATTAAAAAAATCCATTGCATCATTCCCTCAAGATTGGGAGAAGCTCAACCTCGAGCTTGTTCGTTTCATATCTTTTAAAAGACTGCTCAAAAGTTGGTGATGAAGTTCTACCATTCTCCTCAGTACTTTAACTTTTTTGATGAACTAGTGAATAAGATACTTAATGTGCAGTATATTGTGAAACTCCAGAATATACCAAACTTTGGAATACCAAACTTAATCTTGAGTTCTCCTTCGAGCTCAAAGAGTGGTATTCCAGAGTTTGTAGTAAAACTCTTGAATAACAAACTTAATATTGATTTCTCCTTCGAGCTCAAAGGGGGTATTTCACTCACCATAACTTCATAATTGATTGTCAAATATAGCACTTTTGGGTTGTCAACATCTTTTGCACTGAGATTTACTTTTCCTATTCTTCTTCCTCTTGTTGTAATCTACTAAATAGATCTTGTAGACCTTGATGTATTACTTTAGTAGATCTATTTAGTAGATTACAAGATCTACTAAATAAAAAAAACCATTAAGGTGTCACACTAGAGCATACCAATTTTTGACGCTTGATTTTATATCACAAATTTGCCCAAAAAAAAAAAACGTATTGTGGTTCAAAATTGGACATTGAGTGCAGTGCTGAATCCCACTTCTAATGGATGAATTATATTGCCCACATAATTTAAGAAATTCATGTGAGGAAGCTTTGGAAGTGGTACCTATAAAGTATCTAAAAGGAAAACAACAACATTATCTTGAAAGAAACTTTGGGCATCATATCAATGAATCCGAAGATTGCAAGTGATGAGCTCAATTTTAACAAGTATTTAAAGAGACCTGCTTCGACTTCTAAGGGAAGAGATGATTTTTTGCAAGAACCCATTAGATTCCTAACTGTTGCACTGGTATGGTTCATAAACAAAGGGAAGCAATCCAGGTAGATTCCAGAGGAACTTGGAGAGAGGCTTTTACCTTTTCTTTTTTTAATTTCATATGCAATAACTGAAACTTCATTTTACACCTAATACTAGTTTATTCAGCATAGTAACTAAATGTATTGAAGCAGTTAAACAGTAAGAAACACTCTAAGATGGTCTCCAAAATGGTTGCGTATACCTAGAACCAAAACAACACGTCTGACACCTAAGAAATTTAGGCATTGTGCTGGTTAAACTGCAAAAAGTACATGATGGGTTTCCCAAATGCTGCATATAATTAGAACGAAAACAAAGTGTATGTCTGATACTTAAAAAACTCATGCCAGAGTTGCTTATGCTTAGAACCAAAAGAACATTGGTTTGCATTAGACCCACAATTGCGAACTTTGAGATTCGGCAACTAGCAAGCATTCATATTCATATTCTTTCCAGTTGCTTACAGGTTATAGCGCTCTAACATATCACAAAACCAAGATATCCATTAAAAACGTACCTCTGCTTCAACAACCATCTGATCAACATAACCCTTCAACTTGTTCACCCTCAAAGACTCTGTAAAGAACCTGAACTGCTCCTGTCTCACTGAATAATCCACATCAAAGACCACACCAGGTCCAAAAGTAGGAACATTGAACTGATACACCTCTTGCTGGCTAAGATCAGATTCTGGGGCTTTAAAGAAATGAGTTGAAACCTCTGGCCCAATAAAGAATGTAATATTTTTGTTCAGTAATTTCACGGTAAAGACACTTCCAAGCTTTGGGTACTCTTCTCTAAGCATAACAATGGGCCCTTTCAGGAACCTTATAAGTCCTCCAAAAATAGGCCATCCTTGAACAGTTGGGGGAAGCCTTTTTCTAGATCTCGAGAAAAGCAAAGCAGTTATGAGCTTGGCAACAACAAGAGTGGCTAGAACCACGAGTCCAGCATTAAGAAACTTATTATCTTTTGCATCCATTTGTGATGAGTAGAACTTTGAGAGCTACACTTGCATAAATCTGGAGAGAAAAGGAACAATTCAGAGCATATACCAAGAAATCCCTTAAATACATAGCGAAAGACTTCGACATGAAGGAGAAAATACTCGTTCATGAGCATCTTTAAGTAGCAGAACAATCTGTTATTGCAGATTGGTGAAATAAAAGAGAGAGCTAATAATGCAGCATTTATCTGATTGTAATTTCTTCTAAGATAATAATAATAATAATAATAATAATACTGTAGCATTTATATAATCGACCAAAATGAAAAGAATTCGTTGCAAATGAAAATAAGAAAAAGAAGACGAAAAAGACAATTCAGATTTTCCAATTTGAAGTCCATTTGGTGACTCATGCACAAAGAACAGAGCCAAGCCCAAAGCCTTAATCCGAATAACTTTTTCTTTAGCTTAAAAAAATATAGGAAAAAAATTGAGATCCAATATTTCTTTGAGGTAAATACGTTCCAAGAATAAGATGCAGATATATATGTGAGCAGGAAGAGCAGATCATTATTTCAATCCAAACGCACACTAAGTTAGCGGAGAAAACTTTTCAAAAATCAAACGAAAATAAGAAGCCTCAGAGGCACATCGAAATAAACAGATTAATTTAAAATAAATAAGAAACAGAGAAATGGCCAAAATAGAGGTTAGGAGTTTTTTTTTTTTGTTTTTTTTTAAGAATAAGCTTATGTAAATGAAAAAACACAAAATTAGGTCAGAGATTGCAGCATTTCCGTATAAAAAATTTACAAAGAGAAACTAGCCTCCACAAGGCTCTTATCTAACACCTTACACCTTCTTGCCAGATTGCATATCCTACTCTCATACGGTTCAGATGAAAACAGCTCCATTGAATAAGGAAAGTTATATGGCATCAAGGCTCAAATAAAGCATTTTGCAGGTAAGAAAAGTTCCTATGTGATGCATTTTAGAGGAACAAGGCCCAAATAAAAGCATCTTTCCAGGTAAAAGAGGTTTCTGTGACAAACTTACTAAAATAAGTTGCAGATTACTTACAAAAAAAAAAAAAAAACTAAACGACTAGGTTTCAATGGATGAACTCAAAACAACGGAGTTTTTCTTACCAGAAAGATTACGGATTGATTCCTCTTGAAAATCTCTGCAAGTTGTATTAATTAGTGTGTCCACAATGTAGAGAGAGAAACCATGATTACTCTCTCACTCTTCACAGCAGTGGTGTGTTTTTTTATACATGAACATGTGACTGGTGTTGAGGTGAAAGAGGGGATGAAGGAATAATTTATTGGCATTCTTTGAACAGGCTCACGAGGCTCGCCAGGTTTACCATAAACAAGACTTTGTCAAAAATGCCATGGAACGTCGCCACGTCATCACCACAAGCAAAGGCCACAAGAAAATCAAATGCTTTAGTGCCCCCGCGAGAGTACTTTGTTTATTGACTCCCTCATGTAAAGAAAATATTTTCCATCCTGTGTTGAAGAAAATAATTTTCATATCTATTGAAAAGAATAATTTCTCAAGATTGAATTTTGAAGGGTTAGATCTATGTACTTAAGAATCCCAAATTTAATTTTATTTTGAAAAATTGCTCCATGCATCGGGGGATGTATTTCTACATAGGCGTGGTCCTTCTACGAATAGTAAAAACTAGCTATCCAAATATTTTTTTCATAAAATTATTTTTTTAATTTTAAAATTTATTTGGTTTTTTATATTCATAATCTTCATGTTAGAAATTTTATGTCCTTAACATTAAGTAAAACAATCCATCTTAAAATAAAATTTTAAAAAGGGACTCACTTCTATATGGACTCTTAAAAACCTAAGTTCTTTTATTTTTTATATGTAATAAATTTTTAGTAAATTTCAAAAGGAAAGTATCCTCCCATTAAGTCTTTAACTTGAGGGAGTAAGTTTCCATTATGCTCAATTAGAGCTTAATATACGTGATAGAAAAGAAAAATCTCGGGAAGAGAAATGGGGAGGTTAGAGTGGGAGAGATGAGAGAAGTAATTTAAGAGAGATTGAGACATATTTTGTTGTCACCATCTCAGCATTTTTTTAATTATTTGAATTATTTAGGATCGGCTATACAAATCTTGATATATCATTCTGCGGGCTATATTCTGAGTGAGGTCATAAGTTGTCATATTTTTTTTATTACTTTTAACCATATCCTTTTGGATATACTTTTTGTATCTTTTAGTATTTTATTTGAACCAAATCACTCCTCCTAACAAACCTTCTAACGAGTGTTGAACTGGATCAATGCTGCAATCGCACCTAAATTTTTCAAATATATACAATTCAAATTCAATCCGCTCTTATCTTGCTCATACAAAATGCATTACAGTTAGAGAACTTTACATGACACATAAACACATGGAGAGAAAGAGAAAGAGAGAGAGAAAGGAGGGGACAATGTGAGTGGCCAGCTATGGAGAGAAAGAGAAAGAGAGAGAGAAAGGAGGGGACAATGTGAGTGGCCAGCTTTGTACTGCTTTAGCTTTTTGTGCGGGACAAGTGTGCGGTCCCTTAACTCCATCCCACTACTACTTTAAAAAATCTAATTCCTAATCTACTTAAAAACAAGTACCCCCACCGAATTACCCAAAACGAATAGAAAACTAAAAAACAAAAAAAGTTGTGCGGTCGCTTTCTCGATGATGGCATATGTATTTGGTGTTTGGAGAGAGTTTTCATTTGAGTGCATGAGCTGAGCTGTATACCAATGAACAAACGTTTAGAAAGTGATTTTGGAACACAAGTGCATAAACTTGCCTTGTAGCTTAGAGAGAGATAATAACAATAATTAATGAGGTCGCATTATGGGCCCTTTAACAAAATAAGTTCTCTAACCGCAACCAAATATCTTGCACTTTATCATTGAAGAGACTCAGTGAATGTGATCTCGTGGTACAGAAACCCGGTTTTAGTACCATGGCTTTCGACTTCTACCATGGATGTCATTGTCTCAGTCTTGCATGGAAGAGAAGTAATGTTCAATCATGTCTTTCCATAACGTAATGAGGCCGCCCCATATTGTTTAGCCAAAGAAAACGGTTTGATGTAAACCTTTTTATTTTGGAAAAAATTTATGTAAAGATGTTACTTTATAATGTATAACTACGAATGTCTTTCAAAAATCCATTGAAAAAGGTAGTTTGAATGTTGAGAAACCTTTTAATTGATCATCTTGACATCGAGATGTATGACTATAAAAAATAAAAAGATTTTAAATTTTAAAAATAACGTATTTTACAACATATTATTTACACCGCCCATTTTTAAGATTTTCATATGTTTATAGATCTATTTGATTTTAACTATTTTTTAAATTTAAAATTTTATAATTAAATATAAAAATAAATTTTAAAATAAACCTAATAACATTTCACATCAAAATTATAACACCATGGTAAAATTTGAAAAGCACCGCACGTCTACACGTACGAAGCCTCCATATGCCAACTGCGCCCTTTTATTTTTGTCTTGTTTTGCTTTGCTTTTTGTACTCCTTTATCATTATCTCAACGAATTTACTTACCTTAACAAAAAAAAAAAAACTCGTATATTAAGTAATTGAGCCCATGTTGATAGACTTGGCTTGGAGCCATTAGAGAGAGAGCGCGAAGAGAGAGACGACGAAGCTTATTGCTTTTGGAATTGTGATTAGGTCATAGAGAGAGAGTGTATCTTCACTCCCTTAGGATGAAGACTAAGAGCGGGTTCAAAAGAGAGAGGGTATAGATGAATCAATGAATAGTGAGGGTTTTTTTTGGTAGAAAAAGATTGTATTTTTTTTTTTAATTTATGTATGAATCGGTTTTTTATTGTTATAATGGTATGACTCGAAAATAAACCGTTATTATTCACAAGGACGCATCCATGATTTTTTATTTTTTGACAAATTTACCTCCAATCTGATGTTTCAAACATCAGACCACTTTATTAACTCCTTAAAAACCTACCCTCTTCTTTCTCTCCTTTTTCTCTTATGTCTCCGTCCTCTCTCTCTCCCGTTCAAAAAACTACAGCCATTGGATGGCTACTGAGAGATTCTTTGTTTCATTGCACCCAACACCACCATTTCTCAAGCCCCATTGCTGCTTCACTAGTCTCTCTCTTTAAGGCTTAACTGCCCTTTTTCTTCCCTCTCTATATTTATCTCGTTTTTTTTTTTTACCCTTTTTTCTGTCTCAAATCTTAGCCTTGCTATCTATAGGTTTTTTCCTTGGATCTGAAACCCCATATCTAAGCTTCTCCTCTTAGTTCTATGCATCTTCTTCCTAGATGTGAGGATTACACCCTAGATCTAAGAATCTCCTTTTAGATCTATGTTTTCTTCTTAAATTTGAGGTTTTTTTTTCTTTTTGCACCTTCGTGCATGCCCTTTTCCTTTCTTGTTGCTTTCAATCATGACCTTGCCCGAAATAGGAAAGAGATGCCCGAGACAAGAGAGAGAGTGAGATTTTCTAAAAGGAGAGAGAGGACGGGAACAAAAGAGAGAAGAGAAAAAGAAGATAGCATATTTTTGAAGGGGTAAATAAAGTGGTTTAATGTTTCAAACATCGAATCGAGAGCAAACTTGACAAAATAAAAAAAAATCATGGATATTTCTTTTCAGGTAATAATGACCTATTTTTGGGCCATACCTTAATAACGGTAAAAAAAACTTGGTCCCTACATTAATTTCCCTTTCTTTTTTTTTGGATCAATGGCTTTTACAAGCCTTTATCTATTTTTAAAAAGAAACATTTACAATAAGACTGTTTACTTATGATATAAGGAGTTTACAAGCCATTATATTTGAAATTGGGTGGCCAAAAATTTATCATTGATTAGGCAAATAGTGCAAACTAAAATTTTTTGAATGTTGTGACACACTTCAATTTACTGGATTTCACATCTAATAGCTATAAATGAATGTAACCTCCTTATATAAAAAATAAACGGTCTCATAGTTTACAATCTCTTTTTAAAAATAGTCAAAGAATTATAGTGCATTAGTAAGAACAACGTCTCTGACCTTCAACTATGGTACAATGTACTACCACCATGTAGGAGTGGCAACAGGTTGGGTACAGGTCGGATTCGGTTGGACCTAGACCTGGACCCAAATTCGAATAATATTTGTGTCCAGGTTTTGGACCTGGACCCGACCCGTCAAGTCCAAAAGTTGGACCCATAGCTGTACCTATCGGGTCCCGGGCTTGGTTGGGTCCATTGCCACCTTCACTGTGGGCTTCCTTTTTCTTTGTCTTTTTTTTACAATTATATACTCATATTATCGGCAATAAGGTTACAGTCACCCGCTATTAAATTTGAAGTTGTCTGATTTGTCGTTTAATAGCTAAAGATGAATATGATTCTTATTGTATACAATCCTTAATACACCCAAACGAATAAGGCTTGGAGTATTTTATCTCCAATAGTTTACGGGTTCGGGTCCAGTCCAACGGGACCCAGACCCAATAGAGATTGGGTCCAAATTTTGGACCAAAACTTATATTCGAATAGTGTTTGAGACCAAATTTTGGACCCAAATTCTAGCCACCAGGTCCAAATATTAGATCCATATCCAGACCCATATTGGGTATATCTAGCAGGTTCCAGGTCGGGTTCGGGGATATTGCCACCCCTACCACCACGACCCAGTCCCATTCTGAACTCTCGCTCAATTGAAGTTTTCTTTGGCTGAGATTAATGTACAGAATTTCGCTTTGTCAAAAGTTTTAGGACTTGGATTGACGGTCATTTTGAAAATATTATAGGCATTTATGTCTTTTAAAGGAATATTGTTATACTTGAACAGGTGGCATGAACATTGGTATCCTAAAATATAGTTATAATTAAATCTTTAATAATGAAGTTAATGTGAACTTTCAAACTTTTGAAGTTTAAGGAACTGTGGGCGGGCAGAATAACGGCAATGCGACAGTTTTGGCGAGATGTCACCACTTTCACTTTATAATAAGATTATTAAAAATTACAACCCATGTAAATAAGAAAAAGGTGGTGATTTAAAAAATGGATTGGTATCGGGCACCCCAAAAATTGGTTTTCATTGCCATTTTATTGTTACAAAAAAAAATAGTGAACTTGAAAAAAAAGTACGTGATAAAGCAGTGAACCGGCCAAAAACGGATCTGGATAGGTGAATTGGCAGGCCGAATTGCAATTTTATCATAGAGAATTGTTGTTTTACTATGCAGAACTATTGGTTCCCTTCTAATCGGCCGTTTTCTTATATATACATAGAACCGGAACAGGATGATCGATTACCGGGTTGGACCAGTTGATTCTATGCTAAC